ATATATATATATATATTCCAGCGATAACTACAAATGTTAGGTGAAAATTGCAGGCAGTGGTTTCAGTGGACACTTTTCAGTAACATGGGCCTGTGTCATGTTAACACAGACCAGTTATATCCCATATTTTTAACACTATTCTCGTCTGACAACAAACACTGTCTGCACGCTGCCATCTCTCAAACATAAAATAACCATTTCTTGGTTAAACAAAAGCAACGTTGACTTACTGCACTACCGTGTGGTACAAACTGGTACAACTGGACCTCAGTTTGATTTCAGCTGATCTCACTTCAATATAGATTTTGGACATGAAGTAATTTCTTCACGTCGTGTTGATGGTTTTAGTGAGTTTTTGCGAATTTAAAATGACTTTTAAACTCAGACATTTACAAAAAGTAATTTCAAGTTCCCGTCATAGCTTCACAATAAGAAAACATTGAAGACATGTTGATTTGCTCAAGAAGATCTTATAAATGAATCCAGATGCAGATTCATCCTGTATCTGGAACGCTGCAGTGTACACATAACTTTAAGTCAAAACCTGCACGTTTCAGCCTCTCAAAAATGCCCTTAATCCATTTATTCATAATTAGAAAACAACAGCCTTCCCCCTCACATGGAGGCCAACAAATAAGATGTATAATTGTTTTTTACTGTGTTGCATTTCTGCATTTCTTACTGCTTTTATCTGTCTATGTTTGTTTCGCCCTCTGTTCATATTGCTTAATCTTGCTTTTATTGCAAGTGTTTCTTGCTGTATTAGGTCTTTCATTTTTATTGTTTAATTCATACACATTTTCTCCTATTTTAAGTCTTGTGTTTACCTTGTTGTTACCTTGTGTTTAAAGCTATGTTTTATCTGTTTTGAATCGTTTTGTGTCTCTTTTTGATGTCTTTTTTGTCACTTTTGTGTTTATTTTACATGTGCTTCTAGTCATTTTGCCTTTTGGTGGCTGCCTACATGAAATATTTTGTGTATCTGGACATTTTGTGCGTCTGTATCTCATTATGTTTCACTTTTATTTTGTTGTTTGCAGTTTTCTGTACAGTCATTTTGTGGCTCTGTTAAGCAATTTTGCGTTTGTGTTTGTGTCTACTTGGCCAAAGGTTACATGACCGCCTGGTCTTGTATCCCGTGGGACCTCCATGCCCTGGGTTATAAACTTTTAAACTACAAAGTCTGATTGACGAAACAAGTTGTGGCAGTAGGCACAGACTCCAACTTGCTTTTGTGAAAAAGTTTTATTTCTGTCACATCAGTGCTGTGTGGACCCTTGTGTTGTGTCCGTGCTGCCAACAGGAGACGTTTCACTCTGAGCGGCCTCTGAAGTGGAGTTGGCAGGCTGTGCTTCTGCAGCCTTGTTCTTTCCTTTTTGTGACAGTTCCTTTGCTGAAGGCGGTCGGAGGATGCACACGGCTGCTTGGCCATCACGTATCACTTTTGGCCTTGAGACAAATCCCACCATTACTTCCATTTGTTCCACGATTTGCTCCAGAGTGGCATCCTGTGGAAAGAAAACACAAAGATGTTTCTGCATAAAAAGCTTTTAAGGAAGAAAAAAAAAAAAAACCTAAATGCGAAAGTAATTTTTACTGGAATATGAGCAATACTGAGTTTTTACTGAGGATTTTACTTACTCATATTTTACTTTAATGTTTTTGCTATAAACAGCCCTAAATTGCTGTGCAAAGTTTTGTTTAAGTAATTAAGCAAGACTTACATCTAAATATTTCTGAACCAATAACAGGGATTTTTAAAAAATACATTAGCTTATTGCTAAATAAGCTCCTTACTGTATTTGAAACGACACAGGGGACTTCTCTGAGAAGCCAGAAATTAATCAAGCAAAACAATTAATCTCTAAAACTAATTTTTTTTGTTCATCAATACAATTGAATAATTGTAATTTGGCATCTTAATCAAATAATAGCGTGCTTTGCCCATTTCTCTGCTTTTTTGTGAAATAATGAATTTGAAAATTGACATAGTGGTGGATTAACCACTGCAACCATATATGTATATACATTTGTTATGTTATATTAGTCACAACTCAGACCCTTACTGAATAAAAGAATAATCAAGGAATTCGCTCAGGTTTATAGGCGTTCTTCCTCACCAGGTTAACTGCAGATTCACGACGTACTGCCCGCAGAGTGATCTTCACATGGTGTTTCTTTTCCAGCCAGCTCTCCACCTGCTTCAGCTTTGTGGTGAGGTCATGAGACGCTATGCCAGCTGAAAAGCTGAGCTCCTTCACCTGCACAGGAACTGGAGCAAAAAAACAACTATTTTTGGACTTACAGCTGCTTGTCAACCTGTCACCCCAAAAGTGCTTTTCTAAAGTCTATGACAATTTCAAGCAAAGGGTAAGACTTTGGTGTAATGTAACTCTTTATTTCTTGAACCGTCCTTAAACTGACCTAGGTAATGCCTCTTTTCGCATTTCTCAGTTTGTACATCCCCATTTCCTTTCCTCACATCCTTTCCTGGAGCCTTATTTCCCCAGCGAGGACAAAGAAGGAATGCAAGGAGAGAAAACTGGCTGTGTGCCATGCCTCGCTAATATGTTCAAGGTGAAAACACTTCTGCAAAGGATACACCTGAGCATCCTCAATTATAGCTCCTCTGCCTTACCTCCCCTGTCCTCTGTCCTTCATATACATTTTAGGAACTGAGACATCCTTCAACATAATGTCTGGGTTGAAGGCAGTAGGATAGAGAGCAATGAGAAAAGCATCTGGTAACCATCTACCTGCTTTCGCTTTCTTCTTCTCCCGCATTTTTAGTTGCTCCTCGTGGATCTGTTTGCCGCTCATCAGCTGGTAGACTGGTGGGTCTTTGTGCTCACTGAGTAGCACTAACTTGAGACCCTCCTCATCCATCATTCTGATGACATCTGCACGGTGCATGACGCCCAGGTTCTCACCAGCTGCACTTATCACCTGTATCTTACGCTCAGGGATCTTACGGCCGATGCTGCTGATCGAGGCATTTGCTCGGGGATCTTGCTTTTTCTTCTTTGGCGTGGCTGGAGTTTGTTCTGTATTGTGTACTTCAGTGGAGAAAGCAGACTGTCTCCAAGAGGCAGCGATGATATTACATCTTTTGCTGCTTATTGTAAATCTTAAGGCTGGTGGCGTATACACGGGACTCCCACCACACACCGTTCTCACTGCATGGCTTAGCACCCATCTTACACAGCCTGCAGCCATATCCTAAACCTTAAGAAAAAAATGATGAGATTATTCGACAGTGCATTCACAATTTAAGAACTAATATCACAAAGCTCAACATCAAACACAATTTAAACATCAATAATTGTCTTTCAAGCGAAAAAAAATGTTTAATTATCCAGTTTTCATAATCGAGCCAGCCTCCATTCGAAAATAGTCGAATTTAATTTTCTTTGCTTGTTTTACTTTTACTTGTTACTGAACAACCCACACAAGTTACGAGTAAAAACACTTTCGGGGTCCCATCTGTCATTCGGGATACATCAGCTTTGTTTCATCGCTTGACTTTGGGTATTTTACACTGGGACAATGGATAGTCTGGCAAACTGGAATGCGATGGTAGCTAGAAAACCTTGATTATTTGCGAAGTATATAAGAGTGAATGTCTTTTAATGAGTGTGAAATTAGCACATAAGTGTCTGGTGTGTTACAGTTCACAGAGAAAAGGAATGCACTTCGGGTTGGTTGTCATTAAGTGTCCTAGACAGAGCAGTTTGTCTGTGAAGCCAGCGGGTTACAAACATCAATGCATGCATTAATTAGAGAAGCGCAAGAATCCAGACAGAAACTAAACCTCCCCGTTTTATCTCCTGCAGTGCGTTTTTGCTACTCACTCGTGTCAGTGCCGTTTATTATTGCTCTCCGCATCAGGGTGACTACTGTAACTCCTTCCGCCATGCACTTCTTCGTTTACTTTGTCTCAAATAACCCCTATACTGCCCTCGTGAGGAAAACCTAGGACACTACACTCACTGGACAAATCCTTGCTAACGCCGATGTTTCTATTTCTTTTGTTTTTCTAATGTCTAATAGCTTTGCTTATGTTGGTAAATGCACTGTAGTGAACTGGATTTATGAGGCTGTTGCACCTTCTCCCTTTTTGACAGATTACAGGGGGAAAAGTCACAACATTAACAACAGTTTAAATTCCTACAATCACCTTTTGGCAAATACTTTTTTGGCAGCTGATCATTTTCCATGATGTGACTCTCCCGTTCCACTGCATCCTAAAGGTGCTCTATTGGAATGAAATCTGGTGGTTATGGAGGCCATCTGAGTACAGTGAACCCTCAGTCATGTTCAAGAAACCATTGTGAGAATACTGAAACCTTGCAATATGCTGGATGCAGTCATTAGAAGATGGTTACAGTGTGGTCACAAAGAGACGGACATGGTTAGCAACAATACCCAAGGTCGGCTGTGGTGTTTAAAGAATGCTTGATTGGTACTAACGGCCCTTTAGTGTGCCAAGAAAATGTTCCCCACACACTACACGACCGGCTGCTGTAGCCTGTCTGTTTTCGGTGTGATGTGTTGTATGTTCAAAGATGCTCTTCTGCTGCAACCAGTGGTTATTTCAGTTACTGCTGCCTTCCTATCAAATCAAAGTGATTTTTATTTTCTTCTGCAAATCAGTAAATCTAAATATAGTTTTGATAGAATATGAGAAAATATTTTTGTGACGTTATGTGCTAAGTTGAAGGCATTGTATACGTTTTTGTTGTTCAAATTTAGATTATGAGGAAATGATTAAGACGTAAACCTAAGAGGGTAGGGCTAAATAAGTATATACTTCTGCCTACAACTTTTCAAACAACTGCATGGAATTATATTATGAAATGTTGGTGAACGTATATGTTTGAAATAAAAATGAACTGAACTGAGCTCTGTTAGAAATCCTAGCAGATCAACAGTTTCTGGAATAATCTGACCAGCCTGTCTGGGACCAACAGCCATGCCATGTTTGAAGTCACTTAAATCACCTTTGTTTCCCAATCTGATGCTCAGTTCGATTCAGTGTTAGACTTTCTGCCACCATCTACTAGAGGCTGACTAAAGTGTGCGACCAGTCTAAGGAGTGTGATTATAGTTTTTGTGAATTTATATGTGACTTGGCAGTAACAGATGTATGCCTGTGTGATGCACTCATGCAGTCTATGGATGCAGTTTGCTAATAAAGCTTGCCAGTTTTAGAACTCAAACATGGACCACATTAAAAAAATTGCCCTTGCTTTCAGGTAAAATCAATCCAAATTTACTTAAAACTGCTTTTAAAAAAAAAAAAAAATTGCCAACAGGGGACGAGTCCTGTGGTTATAAAAGACTAAAGAGAAAATGGCCTTTGGCTCATTTGCTTTGTGATAAGAGTAAACACCTTTACTGATAAGCTTATAGGCTCAAATACTAGTGTCAAGTTTTACTGATTAAAACATGGTGTTCATTTTATTATTGGTCCTCATTATTGATAGAGAGGCGGTTACAAATACAAATTTTTATTTGTCACTTACACAGTACAACATATAGTGAAATGCTTCTGTCCTGAACTGCAGGCAGGCTGCGCCTCTCCAGGGCTGGTTTTTAGCATGGTGGGAATTGAACAGGCGTGTATCTTACCACTACACTGTCCAGCTGCTATAAAGTAAGTGGTTCCACTGGGGGTTGAACCCAGGACCTTCTGCGTGTAAAGCAGACATGATAACCGCTACACTATGGAACCAGAAGAATACATCTTCCCTTCGTCGCTCATCCGCATTCTACTGTGCATGCATGGAATAATATGTCTTTTATTTAGTGTAATAACATTTTCATATCTGTCCATGTGAGTGTTTGCAAGAGTCTTCTAGCTTATATTTGCTCTTTTCAGTCATTTTGATGTTTATCTATTAATGCAAGAAAAAGCGTTGCCTTGTAGCTGCTGATAAATGCTCCTCTGTGTGTGGCATAGAGGGGGATTTGGCTAAACATTGACTACATGTGTGCTGTTTTGTGCTGGACAGGAAGTGTTCGGTGTGCTTCCAAGAGCTTATGTGCTCAACAGGTACATACTTTGCCTGTTATTTGTTTATGTGTCACTGTTGGTATACGAAGAGTTGCGTGCCACTCTATTTCTTGACTGGAAAAAGTCACTCCGTGGACTGTTAATACCAGGTTACACTAACCTGACTGGAGACAGAGCACAGATAATGTGAGGTTTTCATCATCCAGTCTAATACTGAGACCCTGAGGCTTTTAGTGAGCGTGGGAACTGAAACATAAACTCATAAATCTAAACGTTAACATGTTTATTTCAGACAGCACAGGCAACTGGTAAGCAAAGAAAATGCAAACTAATTCCAGCTCAACCACTCCACTTAACCACAACAGCATGCAAATATTGTTACCAAGAAAAAACAAAATACAAAATGTAAATGATTTTGTGTATATAAGATAGTACTATAAATACATCAGCAGCAAGAGCTTATCAGCAAGCAGCCCCTATGGGCCCCTTTTTTAGAAGTAAGCAGAAATGGAAATAACTGGCATGCATGTGGGAATTGCCAGACAGTCAAATTCCCAGTCACACTGACTACAATAACAGCAGTAACTTCAAATGTTGAGAAAGAGAGTTTCAAAATTAAATTCAATGGAATACCTTCAGGTTATTTGTGCAAATATGAAATGTCTGCCTTTTTTGGAAAGCCAACAAAATTCCAACAATGTTTTTCCAAGAAATGCTTTCATTCTCAGGATGCTTTAAATACTGTTTGGCAGATGTGTGCCTTACAAGAGTCATCTTCTAACTTCTAAGGCTGTGTAACATGAGTGTTGGGCTCTTAGTCACATCACTGATGGTCGTTATTGCTCCATCCACTGCCGGTTCAGATAGAGGGGGAGGAGGTGGAGGTGGTCAACAAATACAAGTACCTCGGGCTGTGGGTGGACAATAAACTGGACTGGTCATGCAACACAGAGCACCTGTATAAAAAAGCCCAAAGCCGACTGTACTTCCTCAGGAGGCTGAGGTCTTTTAACATCTGCAGGAAGCTCCTGAGGATGTTTTACCAGTCAGTGGTTGCTGGAGTACTTTTCTATGCTGTGGTGTGCTGGGGGGGCAGCACAGCAAAGAAGGACTCATCCAGGCTGGAGAAACTGATCAGGAAGGCTAACTCTGTGGTCGGCATGAAGCTGGACACTCTGGTGACAGTGGCAGAAAAAAGGACATTAAAAAAACTGCTGGACATTATGAACAATGCTGGGCATCCTCTGCACACGGCCATTAACAACCAGAAGAGTCTGTTCAGTGACAGGTTGCTTCTCCCCAAGACAAGAACTAACAGACTTAAAAACTCCTTTGTCCCACACGCCATCAAACTGTTTAACTCCTCTCTGGAGGGGAAACAGGGACAAAGGAGGGGGGAACAACTAAGCTGTAGTGCCTCTTCACCTCACTGTGCAATACCTTTTGTGCAATACTTTTGTAAATAGTCAATGGTGCAATAGACCTCAATACTTGAAATGTGCAATTCACTTGTATTTTTATTTTTATTCCTATTTATTCTATTTATCCCCTTCATATATTTTATTTATATATGTCTCTGTATTTATATATGTGTGTGTGTGTGTGTGTGTGTGTGTATATACAGTATATATAATATTCTGTAACTCTGTAACTTTTGTTGGTGCTGTGCTTTTGGAAACCGAATTTCCGAGAGGAACCCACCCGAGGGATTAATAAAGTTTTATCTTATCTGATCTTATCTTATCTTATCTTATCTTATCTTATCTTATCTTATCTTATTAACAGCACAGATTTCTTCTACCACTGATGCTGTTGAAGTGGTTTTCTACCCTCCCCCGATCTATACCTCCATCACAGTTTCATCATGGAAGTCTACAGAGTGAAATCTTATATACACTGTGACTTTATAACTGATGGGTAGTTGATTAATGATGTCACATTAGGAAGCTGTTACATTTCAAGACAAGTTGCAGCCAACCCCAATTTGAGGTGCCACTGCAAACGATCTCAACACTTTGTTAAAGAATATAGTTGATCTTCGGATTTTTAAATGGCACGGCCAATAAAATGCTACTAATCTGAGCACATTTTCCCTTGGTCATTATGAGATAGCCGTCACAATTCATCCAGCTGTTTCTGTCAGCAGTCACATCATCATCATTATGCCCGTACCGTAACATTACGGTAAAATTTATATGCACCACAAATGAAGATGATGCAATACATACATACATGTATACATATACAGGCGCAGTATATTTTGGATCATGGACTATTACTTTCCTGCTGTATACTTTTCTTATCATCCTAGGGCGAGTTAATCTCCGTTTTTCTTTTCAAAACTAGACAGATGCTTTCTAATCAGTGATTTGTACCTCACTGTAAAATCACAGTATGTACATTCATGAAGGTGTCTGCAGATTATAGTTAGCTATAGATTATAGATTATAGTTTATAGATTATAGATTATAGATTATAGTTTATCGTCATAGTTAGAGTAATTATAATCCTGAAATTTTGACTTTCTCTCTGATAGGTTTGTTGTGGTTTTTCAGCCTAATGATGGTCTTTAAAAAAAAAGTTTAATAGTTAAAAATCAGCTCCAGATATTTTAACTGCTTCATTTGTAATGAAATGACAAGGAAACTGAGCTCGCGTGGCCATAAAACCACTTGTTACTTTTGAGCCGCACTAAAAATAAGAGGAAATATATAAAAATGGCTGTAATTCATTAACAGTTAATGAAATACTTTTGTCAGACCTTTATAATTACGGGCAAAAATCAGGGCTTTGATCACATCCTAAATGTTCTCTGTGGTGGTGTCCAGAGGCCAAATATTGTCCAAATATTTAGCCCAAAGAATTTGGACTAAATATTGCAATATTCATATAGTTGTGTCAATAAATGTGGTTTACTGAGCAAAACAGGTCAAATCTTTCATT